CTGTAGTATGTATCATACTGCTTGAATGAAAATGTACTTTTGTCTTCATTTGATTAATAAACTGACGATCTAGCCTGACTACGGGTATACAAAAAAAAAAAAAAAGAAACAATGCCTAAGAAAATCAATGATGTTATTAAAGCAAAAGGCAGTTATACAAGATGGTAATAAAATTTATATACAGTATATTTTCAAAAATAAAAAAAAAAAATTTTTTTTTTAAAAAGCAGTCAAAAATTGTGCAACAGTAAATTTTTAAATAAAAAATTTTTTTATTTTATTATACACATTAATTACATAATATTATACTCTATCTATATTATAAATTTCATCATGATCTAATTGAATTTGATTAAAATTTTAACAATTAAAGATCGACGCGTTCTTTTTGGCGGACGCTGTATGTTCTAAAACACTTTCACCCTAATGATCTTGCTAATAAAAGCTAAGCAATGCGATACCGGTGAAAGATAAAATTTTATCGCATCTGTTTTTGGATAATCGGTGGTTTATATACATGCGGCAAAAGTTACACGCAGTTTATTTTACGAAAAACTTGCCCGTGGTAAGTCGGATACAAAAAATAGAATTTGCAAAATATAATCGCTGTTACATGATGCGAGATACAAAAAATCTAACTATTTTCTTCGGTAGGATTAGGAAGGTATACGCGGATATCAATAACATTTGCGGGGGGAATCTGGAAACATTACCACCTCGTTGCATACGTCTGTTGATTATAGGATGGACTTGACGAAGATCTAATTTATCGGCACGAAGACTATTAAATTGAACTCCCATCTGACCTCGAATTATAGTTTGTAATGCGTCGACCATTGTGTTTCTGGGAATCGTGTGTGAATATTATCCGAACCGTGGACTAGAAAGTTAACAGTAATATTATCACCCATTTTGAGTTCCTAGAAATAAAGAACCATTATAAGTGAGATTTTACTTAGAAGACCTTGTTGCAAAAAATACATACCTTTAGCGTGAGTTAATAATACAAAGTACCAAAAATTCTTGGGTAGATAAGAAACCAAGTCTTCACAAATTCTGCTTATTTATATGATCCAAAATGATCCAAACTTTATCGAGCGAATCTCACCAAAATCATAAGTAAACTATGATTATTTAGCTTCCATAGAAAATAATGTCATATTTAACTAAATGCCAAGTATGTAATATGCAGAGCAATGAGTCATAGTTGCATGAATGAAATCCCTTTTATCTCATCGATCGCAATGAAAGTTTGTTAATCAACGATGATCTGGGAATTGTGGAGATCTCGAACCCCTTATGACTCACAATTTCTGATAACGTGGCTGACATTAACAACTAGTTCTTCATTTTCATTGCCTTTCGTTTTAGCTTATCCTTATCATGAAAATATGTGTAGTAGGAAGCCAATATAACGAAAAAAGAAGATTTACGCATGTTCCACGAGCTTATATGTTGATCCCGATGTGATTGGTTAATAATTTTCCGGGTTTTTACTTAAGTGCCCTTGAGTAGGACATCGGCTCCTCATTTCATGAGACGGCTCGTTGAGTAATGTTGCTTTTGTATTTCACACCCACTAGTAGGCTCGAAGAGCCATTGCTCTACAATAATACACCGTAAACTTTTTTGTTCCACGTTTCCAAGCATGGAAATTTGCCAGTCATTGTTGGAGTTCGCTACAGCGTCGTTTTTTATATTCATAGTACGGTAATTAAATAAAAACTAAAGTTTGGTTCTCTTTTCGCCGATTACGACTGAGACTAGAATAATAATAGCAATGAGGATGAGCCATTATCAAAAGTATCTTTCACCGACACTAGGTTCTGGAGATAACGATGTGAAACTAAAAAATCAAATATAGGTGAGATAAAACTTATATCTATGTATAGTCAAGAACTGATATTTATATCTTCCATTCGTAGATTTGGAACGCGCAAGAAAAGGTTTACCGGCACAGTATAAGAAATGTTTTCGTGATGGATTTAAATTTGGAATTTATAGCAACAGTGTCTGTATCAAGCAATAGAAATTTATTAAGATACCTAATGTAGGGCGAAGTCATTGCTTTGCAATAAATATATCATGCCTTTAAGCGCCTCTTTGAAGCTTTATTATCATGGGTTAAATAAAGATTTTAATGTAAGTATGAGATTATGACCCTTCAGGGCTTTTTATTAGTATGTTCTATGAATTCAGGTATTATATAAAACTTGATAGATATCGGGTGCCATTATTCATATCTACGTATTTAGAAAAAAAAATGAGAAATACATCTCAGTTAATAGATTAAACCAATAGGGATGGCTAATGTAACCACTATCACTTCACATTGATAGTAAATCATCACGCATCCCTGGGTGATTTACAATTCGAAATGCGATCCGTAAGTTAACCAACCCCCCCTTCCCGGTCGAAAAGGAATAT